GCGACACTTGGTCGCTTCTGTTCCGTCTCACAACGGTAAAACAGGAATATAACATCTGATTTTTGAGGAAAAAAAGGCCTGTAAGCCATAAGTAATTGCGATTACATGAGGTAGCATCAGGTAGCTTATTCGAGATTAATCGCGGTGATGAATACCGCGGTGATTTCCAGTGACGAGCAGTCCTAAATACAGCAGAATTAACCGCATAAATCCGCGTCTACCGTGCGAACGCCTTTACTGCTTGATTTAGACCAGATGGCAAAAGGAAGCAATGGAAGGCGCAGTCGGAAATCATTAATGCTCGCAACGGTGACTTGTTATAACATCGCGCTGCTTCGTACAGTAAATTATTTCACAATTCATAATGAGAGAATTATATAGGACTTATCGCAATTTTACCGTGGATATCATTGACGCATATGTGAAGATCCTCTCGAAAAATCGGCGAGTCAAAGTTGCACTGGCACGTGCAGGAACTGTTCGGCACAAGCAAGCTCGAACTCGAGGAACTGCGGGAGTAAGGACTGGCGGTGCCGCTGCTAAGCACCGTACAGGCTTCTGTACAAGAACCTGCGAGAAATTTTTAAACATTTTTATTAATCCATTCTTCGCGTCAGATTGTATTCTTTAGATTTAAAACAAATTCCGAAATATTTCAATTGAAATAATTATCTCCAAGTCACTATTTATAATTTTTTCAAATCTATTAATATACCTTACAATAGCATATTTCAGTATGTAAAACTATCATCAATCTGTAATTTATTATTATTCATTGGTTCCACTTTTTTATGTATCTTTTAATTTTATCCAACTGTAATTTTCATTTTTCTGCTTTTAAGTTAACAAGTTATTTCTGTCGCGTGCATTTAAGTTGTATTAATTAATAAATTCCTCAAAAATCAATAACTCGTTCGTGTTTGCATGACGTGCTTTGCACCATCTCAGATAATGTAAGATCTCGAAAAGATGACATATAGTCCGCTGTTAAAATTCGCGTGTTCCGATCAAAACGCGTCGTATAATCCAGCCGAGCAAGGACAGGTCGGACAGCTGTCAAACCGTTACATCGTAATTTCACGGTTAATCCGTTACAAAGATATTTTTTTATTTTACACAGCGGTTGTGTCACGATTCGCGCAAAATCGTTACCTGAAATACATTCAGTATTCTTGAATCACGCATTATTGTACTTCCGTGTACCGGAAAATCACGCAGGACGATTTGCGCCATATCACCGGCACGAATCGCGCTTTACGAGCGCGCATCTCGAAAGTCGAATCAGATTACTGAAACATAATGTCATCATTGTCACGATATTGCGAGAAATCGCAAATAGATATTGAAGCGATGACTGAAAAAGACCTACAAAACGGAAATTCCGTTTTGAGAGAAAATTGCTTCGTAACATTTCAGCGCACTTCTTCTAAATCTCGGATTGTCGCAATTTGTGAGATGATTGTTTTTCTTTTTGCGAATTAATATAAGTTGAAGTCAATAATTGCGTCGATAAAAGAATATTTACCTTCGATGGTGAAAATGTCTCCATCGGAGTGCCGGATGACGGACAATTCCTGACAGTGGACGACGACTTGCAGGAGATAAAAGCAGCTCGCGAGAACGAGAGCTAGAAAACGCATCTTCCCCACAGCATTCTGCAAAGACAAATGGACGTAGATCATAAATAATTGAGCGAGGTGTCCGAGAGAGCGGCAGTTTCATGCATTTCATTAACAGCGACAAACAAGTGCATTCGCTCGGCGCTATCACATAGCTGATAAGTCATTGAAAATCTCGAGGATTAATGGCCGCTTAATTCCGCAAGATTATGCAGAAGACTTCCGGCAGATAGCATCCATTTAAGGCTGAACGCTTGATCTTCGCTAAACACTGGCGCCTACGTACGCTTGTCAGAGGAATGTTAGCATGCGCGTCGTTTATAAGAAACGCGCGCACATTATTATAAGGCGATGTATGAATTTAGAAGTACACGAAGCCGTGCGTAATATCTCACGAGAACTTGTATCTTCTGTTAAAATAATTCTCGATGCGCGATAGCAATATATTAAACGTCTTACATGTTTGCTTTGGGATCGCTCATGTATCTTAAGCGACGTGCAGGCACGACGCGTAGGAGTACTGCGCGAAAATTGAAAGGATATGGATACTGATTTAGTCATTAAAATCATTAAAGTAATAATCCTAAATGTGCTGGTATATGATCGGATGGCAAACGTTACGATTGCGGTTAAATAAAATTAGCCCCGGGACCTTGACACGCGTAATCGATTCTTCGATGCTTTTTCGCATTTTTACGTTTTATAATCGACACCAATATTGACGTGATTTACAGAAAATTTATGAAGTATAAAATCTTCTCTTCTTTAGAACTCATCGCCGTTTAGTTACGCCAATAATTAAAATCAACGGAAGTTGTGCCAATTTATGTTGTCGATTGACATTCGAGCATCAAGTTATGTTAATTTCTATCAAATTATACTAATTGCAAATTAATTATCGGAATTAATTATAGTGAACACAAAACCGTCTGGTTTCTTTTATAAGTAATGAATCGTTAGTGAATAATTAGTTTTGTCTGAATAATTTCATTAATCTCATAGTGTAATTTCGGAGATCCTGCCGCAGGGATCATCGCGAGAAAAAGATGAATGCGTATATTTTATTTTTATCATAAAAAACGCAACGGCGCAATTCTCGTTATTAATCAAAAGCATAATTAATATAAATTTTAAATTCTTAATAAAAAATAATGATAAACATTTTTTATATAGAACATGGAAAGTTTTTCACGTTTAATATAAATTTTTTATGCAAATCAGTGCTAAAAAGATATAATAAAGTATAGATTTTATTATTTATCAAGTGTTTATAAAAATATTGATTATATCGCTTATTAAAATTCAATCAAGCTTATAACAAATTCGAAGCTTATGTGGTTTGCTTTATAATCATTTGTAAAGGCGTTTATTATTAAGGAATTTAATTAAACGTTGTAAATAGCTAGTTATCTGCCCGTAGTGCGTGCAATCATTTTCTAGCATTCCTAAGGAATTCCTAAGGAACACGGCAGGTGTTGGAAATTGCGCTCTTGCGATTATATTAATTGATCGACCAGTCGCGCAAAGTCTGAATCTTAACGCATGATTATCGCGCGTAGGCGGGATAATGCTAACAAGTACTGCGGTAATAACAGTGCAAGCTCTCTATGCGAAATTGTGTTAATAACGTATTTATGACAAGATCACTTTGAGACGCATCTCTTCACATCGTACTTGCAGCTAAATTACGTTTGATTGCATTTTGATTAAACTCCCTTCTCCTACATTAATGTTGTAATCACGTCGACGCTTTAGTATCCTCTTAAAAAAAAAAAAAAAAAAAAAAAATAGCAAAAGTTGAGAGAAAGCAATACTACATGGTTAAAAAATTATTTTTTACGCGGGCATTTAAACAATAAATTGCGCATAAAAATTGGTCGGATATTAAAATAAGATATATGCCAATAAAAATTCCTGAAGAGCACGGCAAACGCGTATATTCAGATAAATTATTAGCGTTTCTCGGAAATTCGATGATCGTGACGCAAACGAGCTATCAGTTTCTTGCGGCAAAATCATTGAACGTGAACGAGAAATACATATTTAGAGAGAAGAATCCGACGAATTTCAATGGTCAATAAACTCGACTGATCAAAAAGTTGCACTATAAATCTCTTTTTCGGATGACTCTAAATGTCAGAGCAATTCTTAATTAGTTTCTTAATTAGTTGCGAATGTATCAATATTGATTCTTGTGTGTGTGTCCGAAAATTATGCACAGAAAATTATGCGATACTCGTATCTTATTTTACATTATACATTTTAAATTTAATTATACAAATTTATAAAAATTTAATTATACATATTAAAATTATGGTCGATACCGTAAAGCAGCGCTCGGAATTAGTTGCACATTTCGGGCCGATTTCCGAGACAACGCCTCCTGTTCCCCCACTACCGCTCGGCCGCTGGCGGCCGAGCCGCCGATAGCTCTGGCTCAGGAGCGTTTTATATTAGAAATAGGCTGGATTGTTTAGGCATCTTTCGGGAAATTGTAACATTTTCTTCACTACATAAATAATGTTTATTTTTATTAATACATAATATATATATATTTAATTATTAATGAAAATAAACATTATTTATGTAGCAAAGAAAATATTACTATTTTCTGAGAGGTGCCTCAACAACCCAGCCTATTTCTTATATAAAACGCTCCTGCGCCAGAGCTATCGGCGGCTCGACCGCCAGCGGCCGAGCGGTAGTGGGAGAACAGGAGGCGTCGTCTCGGGAATCGGCCCGAAATGTGCAACTAATTCCGAGCGCTGCCGTAAAGTATGCAATATAATGAGAAATGATTGACGATCACCGTTTGAATCGTATTTTCTTAATCGATTTAGCGTTCCATAGCGTATTGTTTACTTATTATTTCATAGACGGTATGAATTATTTATACAATACGTTATACAAAAAAAAGGATAAAAACTGCCGCAATATCACGTCGTTAAGGAAACTTTCTCTAAAAAAATCTTAATAGATCATCGGTCATTTACCTTTTCGATGCAAAAAACATCCGAAGAATGCTTGTGTGGCCGTCAGACATGGAGCACAGGACATATATTATCTGAAAATCATGCATTGCTACTGCAAATCAGGTATGCATACATAATCTAACCTATGAATTCGGCGTGCCAGCCGAGAACAACTTTTTCGCTTTGTTATATTACGTACCGAGAAGGTTGATTTGATTTTTGTGATTAATTGATGATGCTTCTCACACATCGATTATCCGAGATGAATGATTCTAGTCTTATTAGAAGTGTTGGAATCGTATCCTTCAAGCAAAAGCTTGTCCGCTCCATTTCTCCGCGCTAAGATATTGACAATTCTATCTATTGACTTTTAATCGTGTTTTTCGGTGATCCCGATAGAGGGACAAAGCATCGACGATGACGCAATCACGTGACCCTGACTCGAATTCTTACTATTGGTCAGCTGGTCGGCTGATAGTTGTACCGTTATGTGCCCAAAACCGTAATCGCTGTGTTAATTCACGTAATAATAGTTACGTAATAATAGCTGCATACCATCTGTGCGCAAAAAATAGACGTCTAGTCTAGTTTCCGTATTTATCCATCTATAAATAGCGTGCACACGTGCCGGATCTTTACAACGCTATAACTCGGCGAAAACTGGACGTGGAGACATGCGACAAAAACGGATCTTCTGTGTTTCGCGTCCTCTAGATGCTTATGTCCAGTAAGTATGCTCTCATCATGACACGTATATATTTATATAAAGTATAAAATGAGCTGTGTTGCCAAAAAGGCGAGAACTTAAACAAATTATGCGCTTTGATTGATATGCGGCGTATCACGACTTCCATGCAACACGCAGAAAAGCCCTCAAATTGAAAGTTCAACTTAATCTATCATAATCTTATATTAGAATCTTGATTATTCTTGATTATTCCATGTCTATCACCTCTCAATCAAATGGTGACACTATAAGTGACACTATACGTCATTTTCTCGCCGGGATATCATGACGATTCCCCTTCATCGCATGAATGAAATTTGTACACGAGAATCATTTCATCGACGCAATTTGCTTATTTATGTTCTGAATTTTATAAGAATTTAGAAACACAATAATATTCTCAAAGAATATACATATATTATAAAAAGTTGTAAAACGTTAAAAATTTAGAGGATTTAACAAACAGGAAATCGACAATTTAGACTACATTTAATAAAAAATAGAGATGCAGTTAGTTGGGTTTAATGATACGCCAACTTGTATCTCTAACGCATAGCGTGACCGATCGCGAGACGTTGAAGACGCGACCGTGCCAGCAAGCCGACGTATGTAACAGGAAGTACAAGCTCCGCATCCCTTTATGTTCGCCGGCACCTGCACCAGATGCACATCCGATTTTGTCCCGCGTTCCGCACGTTGCAACGCGGCGGCACGTGTTATCTTACGCGTGCCATCAGCTCGATTGTGCATAACGTTAAGCTCTATGCCCGCCGGTGTTTCTTGCTCTATTGGTCCGGTCGCGCGCGCGGTGTAATTTATATCGATGCAACGACGTCTCAAAGCTCGTATTATATGGCCCGCAGAAGATCCAACGTGTGCGATATAATACTTGCGGTCGTCGGACGGCTCTTTACGGGACACGTTAGCCATCCTGAATTTCTTCTACCCGGTCTCGCGCGCGCGCACGAGCATCCCCGCTGCGCGATATCGGGACCAAATCGCGTTTTTCTTTTCCAGCCAGCACACGGTGCATCGCGGTGTATCGCGTCTCGCGGCGTTAATCTAGCGAGACGATTCTCGTTGCACAAATGGAGATTGCAGTCTACGCGTAAAAAAGAGACTGTAACCCGGATGGAAGACGCGTAATGATACCCGAGAACGTTATAATGATGATTCGATTATTTTCACACGAAACACGCGTGACATAATATTATAATTAGCGTTCATAACTGTTTAATGTGTCATTACGACTTTATTCGACAAAAATTCTGAGTAATTAGACAATAACGTGGGCGATAAATCTAAAGATTAAATTATTCCATCCGAAACTTTAAGTAACATTTTTTCTAAACAACTATTTTCTATTGATCAAGATTGCCTGGCGTTTTTACGTAGAGCGCCAAGAATGAGCCATTCATACACACTTTCTCTTATCGGCACAAAATAGTAAAAATAAAAAGTACTAAGAACAAGCATGCGATTTTCGAAACTTTTTTATGATTTTATGACTGTAACGATCGTTTCGGCTACGCTTTAAGTATCAGAAATAAAGGAAATAACCTGTTTGTAAATCCGTAAAGTTTAAACAATTTGTGCGCGCACCTATTTTCAATGACAAATTATAGTGATTTAGATAGTGCGAATGCGCTCGTACGTCATGCAGGCGACTTATTTCGTAACAGTGCCAACAGTCACGGCCAATGAACAGAGTGATCACAGAATAATGGTAGAAAGCAGCAATTTCTAGATAGTGACATCAATATCGGAAAGGTCACTTTTTCTTGATCGATGTGGAATTTATAGAAATGTTTCGGAACGCGAAGTGTTGACGTTTCGTCAGAGTTGTTAGAGATGACTCGTTAGAATCAGCGTTTATTGCACGCATGAGGGGAATGTGAATCAGCGATTTAATGTCAATTTGAACTGATTGTTATCTAAAACGGAATCCATAAACTAGCTATAACTATAATTTATGCGAAAACAATTTTGATAAACATGTTATAACGCGTTGCGTAAAAAGTTAATTTATACAAGAAATTCATTATTCTTGTTGTTTTAAATCGTTAGAAACCGATTTATCCGCATTTATTATCAAACGACGTTAAAAGTGATCACTAATTGTGCATTAAAAATATACTTTTTAATATTAAGATATGCTCTATTCGTATAAATAAAAAGTATTCGTATTTTATGCAGCGAAAACATCATAAAGACTAAAAATTAATTTCAGTTTCAAAATAACAGAGTGATCGTTAAGCAAATGCATTATAATGCCAAGAAACATACATGTATGCATACAGTAGACAAGATATTTGATATTTATTGCTAATACGTCGTTACAAATTTGAGGCAAAGTCCTAAAGCTCTCACTGTCACCGGATTGTTCTGGGTAACCGTTAATACATAAATACATGCGAACCCACACTGTTAAAGCCGTTTTCGTGTGCCTTCGTAATTACTGTCGCCGTGAAAAGAGCGGTGCATTCCGAATGATTTCTTCATGGTATGATTCTCCGTGGTCGCCGAAATACGAAACCGGCGCCTTTTAAAGGCCGATAGGCATAAAAATACTTCCATGGCGCTCAGATATGCCGCTAATTATTGCCACCTGTTGCTCGTACATTACAGAAAGAATGCCAAGTCCGAAACACTCCCCTTCTTACGTCTGTTTACTTCGCAAGTTTAACATAACGAAATCGAGTCGAGCCAGGCGCCAATTAATCATCCCTACCTCGTTTAAATATTATGATATTTATAACGGGGACAGTAAAAAGTTCGCACAGTGGCGAAAAAAATAAAAGCTGACGAGTTAAAAGTTATTTACATAAAAATATTTTTAAGAAATATTCTGTGACAATTCTATTTTTGCAAAAGATTCTTGCATCGAGATAAAGTAGCCGGGAGTAATTGATTGAAATATTTGTCAAAAACTACAGTTGATATATTGGGATGTTTGTGACGGTGTTAAATCGATTGTCGGCGTGGCGCGAGCATTAAAATGACTAGACAGCGCGAGAATTTGCATCTCCGGTTAGCAAAAGCAGGTGACATAGATTACGGAATTTATGTCTTGACATAATATTCGGTAATTTCGGTGCGAGTTTTGATGATTTACATATAAGACATAAAAGTATATAAGAATGATATATGTTTAACGCAGCATTATGCTGCTCTTGGAACTCGATACTTAATGAAGCATGAATATCAATTAATACTCGAGGGCATATAATTTGTTTCCTGATAGGCACCGTTTTTTTATCGGCTCAACGCTATCGGCGAATATTGATCTCAGACTAACTTATATCTTACGAACTCTACGAAACACATTTTTTTTTTACGTCATAAATGTAAAGCTGAATAAGCGTATCACATAAGTATATGAGGAGTGTATCAATATGCGGATGTTCTCTTCTTTTCAACAGATTCCGATTTGATGCAAAATTAATTCTTTTTTAATGGAATTTTAACTCTATTATAACTCATTAATTTTATTTTTTTGCCCGATCAGGAATTGCCGAATTTTTGTAAAGAAATTGCATTTTTATTTATAAGGCACCGCCTTTTACTCAGGTCGCACACTCATCGTTTTTGTTTGCCGAAATTCTTCCCGATTGTATCGATAATTACAGCATTTCTTTCGAAATTCGATCACTGAAAGGCGTTGCCTTTCATGCACGACTCATAAAAGTCGATAATTATATTGTCCAAAAGTGTCTAATTAATTGTCGGCGGCTTCAGCACTTCGCTCTTAAATAGATCATTACTATGCATAATGCGCTTCCCTCTTTCTGTGTCTTCTCTCACCGGTTTTTCTTTCCTTCTTTTCTCTCGTTCCGGCTCGTATCCCGCGTTTCTTCGAGTCGTTTCTCATCAGTAACCTGTTTCTCATACGTAGGCTGCGCAAGATGTCTCGGTCGTACGTGACGGATGCCTGGCGCAAGTGCGTCTCCTTGAACGAGCTTACTTACGCGCGATTTCAATAGCAAGTCACGGCAGTACAAGAGTTTAATAAAGTATAAACGGTAGTCATTACGGATAATAACGATAAATTGTGTCGCGTCGCGCTACTGACTCGTTTTTAAATAATGTCGTTACATGGATCTCTCCTTAATTAAGAAAACGCGATGAAATGCGCCGAACGCGAGCAAAAACGCGGTCGTAAATTCGTTCGCTGTTTAATATTTGTCGCTCGCTGATAGTCTCAAGTAATTTTTATAAGCATAAATTTCGCCGATAATAACATTGGTGGTTTTTAGTTTCCTTATTGTAGGAAGAAAGATACAAAGATGTTGTGAGATAAAATATATGCGTCATGAATAATATTTAAATCTTAAAAAGATTTTAATAGTTTCTCGGTAAATGTATTAAGCGAATCCATTTTTCATGATAGCGAAGAAGAAATATAATGTAGTCAAAAGTCGATATAAAACGGTGAATAAAATATAACTATAAAATTTCAACTAATAAAAGTATTTTTACACGAATTTTTATACGAAGTAGAAATGTAGATATCTTTTGTTAATTATGTGATTTTATATAAATAAATTATTTATCGATATAGACGTTTTAACACGGCACTCTGACACGGCATACGTATATAGCTCGATCATTTCATTTCATGCTGTCTCTTAAGTGGCCATCACAAGGATTCCTAGACATTTAAAGCTTAATGATGCTTACATTATGACAGAAGATGATTGAATTCTATCGGCGGTTTAATAGAGATATTAATTTCTTATTCTGACAGAATCAATTTCTCGGTCATTCCGCGCGTACAACGACAGATGTGCGTGAAACTTCGTGTTTGAACTTCAGTCGCGTGAGTGCAGACAAGTAGTCGAACTTTCTTCCTCTTCAGTATCTCTCTCTCTCTCTATATAAGTATCTATAATTTTCAAACGTTTCACCGTGCGAATCCGACAACACTTGTACCGAGCAATTTTTCTTTGTTTTTTTTTTTTATTTACTTTTACGCTTTATTAATTCCAACTACATTAAAT